TTAAAAATAATAACCAACGATCTTTTTTAAATACAAAAGAATGTAAACAAGATAAAATTTTATAAAAAAATTGTAATTTTACAATGTAAAAAAATATATTTTATGCTAATGTATTAATAAGATTTTATAAAAAAACAAACAATTTTAAATTTACAATGTAAAAAATAATTATAATCAGTGCGGGGAAGTTGTTTTACAGTATTTAGTTAATACAATGGGGGAAGAGAATATGATATTTTAAGGCATCAAAAATCTTATAAGCATAAATCAGTACAGGACAGTCTATCAACTTCTATTGCAAAACAAAAATATTCTTCAAAAATAAGAAATAATACAGATGCAACTACAATTGTAGAAATGGTAAATACCTATCATGCAGTACAACATTAAGAGAGCTACTTAACATCACAATGTTAGTAGAATCTTTCCCCATAATATTTAACGACTAATATAAATGAAAAGTATACTTTGTAGAACACAAATGAGCAAAGCTATCATCGATGTTTTAGGATATAAATCCAGAAGGTCAATTCTTGACGATTTGAAAGATGTGCAAACATATGCAATTCTAACAGATGCATCTAATAAGGAGATATCAAAACATTTCCCTTGATCCTCCCCTATTTCAACAAAATTAATGTCATTTCAATAAAACTATTAAAAAAATTTTCTCCAGTTATGAAATATCCAAAGACATAGCTTACCATATATAATGGTAAATATGGCAGATTTGGCATTACCAATGAATTGCATGGCAGCTTTCTGATCTGATAATTCCTCAGTGAATTTGGCAAAAACCAGAGTGTATTTACAGAATTGAGTCAGCATAATGTTGGTTGACAGGTTATTCCTAATACGCGCCATCGTAGAATTTTAAAATTTTACAAACCTTTAAAAAATAAATAGATTATAAAAGCTGTCCTAATATTTTGAAAAAAATTTTCAAAAATAAATGGCAGAAGTATATTTAGGAATTTTACATACAGGAAATCTACTATATGCTGTTAATATGCAGTTGCAATCAGAAGAATATAATTTAATAAAGGTTCACTAAATTATGCTGCGGAAATACCAAAGTAAGAATATTATTACTATTATCGGATAATTATTAATAAGATTTAATATGATGTCATGTTTGAGGAGATTGTAATGCTTCTTTATTTTTATGATATATTCAAAATATTAATTTTACAATGTAAAAAATAAATTTATTTGATTTTATGCAAATGTATAAATAAGATTTTATAAAATATAGAAAGTCAAATAGTTATAGTTAATTATATTTTATTTGAGATTTAAATAATGGAACTAAACGTTTACCGTCGTTATTAAGATATTTATAAAATTCCTGGCATGACATTTTATAATTTTGTTTAACCATTAACTCGGCCTCTAATGTTGTTAAAGCAATTCGATTTCTCTCCTTTCTCCAGGCAGTCCTCATCAGGCTAAAAATGCGCTCCGATGAGGCATTAGAATGAGGTAAGGAGAAAACATACTCGCAAATTTTTTCCAAGCATGGGGATTTATCGTTATTACGAAAAAATTCCACCCATTTCTCCTCTGCTTTTAGACCATCTAACTTTAAGTATTCTGGCGAATCATAAAAAATGGAAAAAATTACAATCTCTTCAAACAAGGCTTCAATGTCTATCGGTAATTTTAATATATTTATTAAATTACAAAAACCATCAAATGATGGTTTCTGTTCCAAGGTCATAATATTTATACACTTGTAAATAGAGTTATTCAAATCTTAATTGTAAATATTCCAAAATTGTCTTAATAAAAATATTTGCTTCATTTAAAAATACGTTAATTATAGTAATATTTGAACATTTTAATATGATATTTTTAGCAATAGCGCCATAAAATTTATTATCTATTTTTAACTGTAGAGATGAACAGAGCTGTAGCATGATTTTGTGAATCTTTATCAATAAAGAATCTTCTGATTGCAACTGAATATTAACTACATGAAGTAGATTTCTTACATGTGAAACTAATCCCAAATATGCTTCTGACATTTCATCCTCGAATTATTTTTTTAGCAAAATAGAACATTTTATTATTTTAATCTGTTTGGTATATGGGATATAATATCCACTTCTAAAAGTTCTATTCTTCTAACACAGAAATTTTGAAAATATCGAGTGGAGCACTGCAATTCTAGATAACGATATAAAATATATTAAGTAATTTAAAATATATTTATAATAATTATACATACTGTTCTAACTTCTATTCTTTCTAACACAAAAATTTTGAAAATGTCGAGTGGAGAATTGGAGAATTTTATAAAAAATTTATTTTAGAGCGGAAAAATAAAATAAAAGAACTAGACAAATTTTTCGAATAAATATTTAAAATTTATTTTAAAAATATAAAAATAATCAAATACTGTCTCTCAAAATTATTATTTATATATTAAAAACAATAAAATGCTAAAAAAAAAATGTGGGAGAAATTAAAAAATTGTGGGAGATTTCTAATTGTGGGAGTTTTGTGGGAGTGAGATGTATGTGGGTAAACTAAAAAATTGTGGGAGACTCCCACTGATGGGGGGAGACATGGGAACCCTGATCATGTATGAGAATTTTGGCTATTGGTGAAGTATTATTTTACTTTTCTCTAATAGAACTCTTAACTCCGAGCTTTTCACTCATGATTCAATCAAAGCCTCTGGTCTTAATGCATTAATATAAATTACATTATATTGGCCTAATTATTAATAACAATAGATTTACTAAATAAATATCCACAGTCAGTAGGCACTAATATAGTGAGTACTAAAAATTGTATTGATTCCACAATTAATATATTAACAAATAAAAGAAGTTATAATTCATTTGATTTGATAAGAATTAAGGTTAAGAAACTTGTATCAAAATTTAATCTCATCTCTTAATCATCTAGAGTACGTAAAACGCCTACAAATCTTCAAATTTTTTAGTCAATACCAAATTTCAATTTGTTTGTGAAAAAGAAATAGAGTTCTTTCAGAGACTTTCATGGGCCTTAGTTTTTTGACCAAGCCCGGCCCAGGCCCGCAGTAAAAAATTTTTTTAGGCCCAAGCCCAGCCCGGCCTATATCTAATGTTAAAAAAAAATCCCAAGCCTATGATAAGTTTCAAAAAAAATTTAAAAACCCGGCCCAAGCCCATATCCAATAATTTAATTTTTTTTTATTTAATGAAAATAAACAATATTTAAATATATTTAGGCAATCATTTTGTTTACAATACTGAAATTTATTATTATTAGAAGAAAAAAAAGACAATATTTCTTTAAATTAGCAACTGTTTTAAATAATTCAAATTTAGTCATTTTAGGCCCAAAAGCCCATTAAAAATTTTTTAAAAATTCAGGCCTGTAATTTAAATTTAGTCATTTTAGGCCCAAGCCCATTAAAAAAATTTTAAAATCCAGGCCTGGCCCAGGCCCGCTAGAAAATGTAATATTAGATGGGCCGGCCCGGCCCATGAAGATCTCTGAGTTCTTTAAAAAATTTATATATACACAAGATGATTATAATCTTCCATCATGTTTTAATACCCCCCCCTTGTCCATAATAATTTTATATGAAATAAAATGATCCCATTAGAATCATTATCGAACTTGAATATGGAAACGTTACATCATGAAATGAAAATAACAAAATGATTAATATTTTGCAGAAGTTAAAGAATGATGATTTTGAAAATATCGTAAATATTAGGTAAATATCTTTCATTTAAAGAATTGTATAAATTACTCTGCAGCTATCATCATGTATCAACGTCTTTTTGTGAGGCCTCATTTTCTACACTAAAGAGAATTCTATCGAACACTAGAGAATCGATGAAAGATCGACGTAAACAAAATCTAATATTAATGGCTTATGAGAAAAAAAATAACACAAAATTCAGTTTTTAATCTATTTATGTTAAAATTTAAAAATAAAAATCGTCTTTTACAAATTTTTAATAATAATAATAAATAATTTCTATGAGTCCCTAACTATTTGTTTATTTAAAAAATATTGGCCCCCCTGAGTAAACAGTTGCTTCCCTCTCCAGCTGGAAATTCCTTGCTACGGAATTTCGAACAATTTTACATCAAATTTTGGGTTAACTTTGATATTTTAAAAATTTATAGATATTCATTTAAATTATATTTGATTCAAAATTTTATTAATTGTGTGAAATTTATAGACTAGGTACCACATGCTGGAATATAATTCCTCCTAAATCAAGTTTTTAAACATTCAATATATACGACATACATTTTTTTACTTTCATTCAAATTTATGAATATTGACGACAAAACTAAAGATGTTAGCCTTTTATTAATAAAATGGCAATCAATTTATTAGACTAGCCTGATGACATAAGATTTTTATGATATTTTTTATTTTGTTATCATTTGGTATATATATTTGCTCTTGATAATTCATTTAAAAATAATAAAGTTTTTGTGTCAGTGTCAACATAAAATGATTCATAAGATTAGTAACAAAAAATTAATATTTAAATATAACTTTTTTAGGAAATTACTGGTGGTTTGATATGACCATTTATGATTTAACGGCAGGATAGCATATTTTACGCCCGTATATTAATTATTTTTCTATTATTTGATAAAAATGTTGGACTGAATATTGACAATTTAGATTCAGCGTCCATGACTGTGAAATTATATTAGAAGAGAAATTAACTACTTTGTCGTAGGTTTCATCGGAGTCCAAAATAAAAACGTACTGTAAATCAATCATCATATTACCGCTAAATTATTTTAAAAAATATATAAATGATTGCAATTAATCATCTAAATATAATTAATTACTGATTACATCCTTGAAAACGGTAATTACTTATAATTACTAATTCCTTAAAAATCGATGATCTCTAAACATATATACATTTTAGTGGAATGGCTTAATTTAAGAAATACCAAATTTTCTTTCAATTAGATACCATTCCTGTCTCCATTTATAAAAATATATTATAATTTATTTAAAGGCTTTCGAATTTTTTGCCGAATGGTCACTTTGCCCAAACAACGCGGCCTTTCAAAGGGTTAAAATAGGAGTCTCCGATCCTACTTCCATTGGAGACAAACCTAAATGGTATCAAGCGTCTCTCGTATCCATTTCTTTTCGATTGCTTAACGGAGAAGGTTACTAATTTTTTTTTGGAATTTGAATTATCTTTCGTAGAATATTTTTTTATATTGTATTTCTCACATATATTTAACATTGAAAATTATCAGATCCATCTTCTTTTTGAAACAAGGGAAAATTAAAATCAATAATAATCTTTTAGAAAATATATTAACAAAACGTCCATAAATGGTAATTACAAATGGACAGATACGCCCCCCTTTCTTGAGAAATAAACTGGGGTGAAAAATACAATTTACGCATATATACATATAATCCAAGTAAATGTCCACATAAATTTGATAAATGATTTAAGAATTGCAAAAATTATTAATTATTTAAATTATCTTTTTCTGTTCCAGGAAGCTCCATATTTTTTTCTTGACCATATATAATTGTCATTGTGCTAACAGTTAGTGGGTTATAGCATCATTGGTCAGTCATGATCATTCTATCTTAGGCTTGATATCATCCAGCATTATTGTAGTTGATTGGCAGGTCATAGCTTGATTGATCCATAACATCATTGGTGAATCATTATCATTCTATCTTAGGCTTGGTGTTATTAATCCAACATCATTGTAGTTGATTGGACAGAATATTTACAATAAGTAAGTCAATCAAATGTGTTTTTTTTAAATTATATCCTAATGTGTTTTATTCTTTCCTTTTAACATTATCCCAGAAACAAAATTTCAGATATTGAACACAAAATTTCGAATCCTAATATTCACATGAGTCTTTTATTATACGATGGACTACTTTCCCCCTTTCCTTGGGTCTAAAATAATATCAAATGACCGTCTCCATTCATTTATATAACCTCCAAAATTTTAAAAATAAAGAATATTCTAATATTATCTAATGGCTCCCTCCATTACCGTTTATATCTAATATATATAATCTCCATAATCAAAACACGATCGTTTTCTTATCTCTCTATTGTATTTAAAATTTAAGGAGACTGTATAATGTAATGTTAATTTTTTGCTATCTACGAGAGTCGAACCACAAACCTCCCGTTTCAAAGATGCATTGAATAATTAAATTTAAAATATTAATTATATATATTATATATATTAATTAATAGCTGATATTTTTAAAATTTTGCCGTTTATTACCATAACTAGCTGACGGTGTTGAAGGGTAATTATTTAGTTTGTGTGTATGGTACTAAATATATTTTATTAATAAATTTTTTAAAAATATTAAAATTTAGGAGAAAAGAGGTAAAATTGTTGCAATACAGTAAGCATTAAGAGTATTAGAAATATCAAAATTTAAATTTGTGATGGAAATCATATTGGATAAAATTTAAAATAGAGATGCTTGAAGATTTTTGAATTTTAAATATGGGTTAGACATTGGCCTGAAAATTTTTTTTTGCAGACATAGCTAGGCCTGATCAAAAAACCAAGGCTCATGCAACTTTCATATTCTGATTCAGTTCTTAACTGCCAAAATTATTATGGTCTTTGGCGGGCTTGAGAAAATTTTCTCAACATGATTATGAGAATGAACCTGCTGGAAATTTTTTTATATTAAATATTAAGCATAATATTTATATGGGTCTCAGGTAAAAGCTAATTTAAATATATTTTTACTCAAAAAATAGTATTCACTATTGGTCCTAATGAGTTGATCTTGGTCTGAAGTAGGATTGAGCGAGATTAAAAAGAATAAAAATGAATATGGTTTTTAGAGATTTACCTATCTCCAGGCTTGAGAAAAAAATTTCAAAATTATTACGCGTTGGCCAGGTTTGAGAAAAATTTTTTAAAATTATTATGAGTGGGGCTGGGCTTGGAAAATATTTCTATGAATTATATTGGACGGGCTTAGGGAAAATTTTTCAAAATTATTATCAACTTGGACGCTTGGGAATTCTATTATCAACTATGGATCAGACATTGACCTAAAACAAATTTTTTTTGCAGGCCTGGGGACCTAGCCTGAAGGGGGGAGGGGGTTATAAAGAATAAAAAGATATTATTTCTAAATAACAGGTAACAACTATCATAAAAGTAGGGAAAAAAACTAACTAATTGCCCCTCAACCCCGATATATATATAAATCCACATTTACTTATATAAAATCAAAATATTTTTATTAATTTACCTTACCGTAATATAAACTTTTAACTTTATTCTTTTTAAAAATTTGAACTATTTATGACCCATTCTTTATTTTCAATCCATCTTTATCACATGTTCAACATCTAACTTTACTTATTTTTAATCCTAACTTTCATATATAGGGTTTGCCCATTTTTATTTCATCGCGTTATTCTTTATATTTAATGTACATCTATCTAAAATTTAAGATATGTTTATATAAATCTTTTTCAGTAAATATTTGAATACGAAAAATATAATAAAATAAAATATCATCTTCGCGAGGTTAAATAAAGTAAGAAATATAAACGTTTTTATAACAAATTATTTAAATAAGGTCTTGTATATATATATAAACAAATCAAAGCGTAATTTACAAGTTCCAAATAAATATTTTCATTATAACAATTATTCAATTCTATTATATTCCATATATTACTCCGATAATCCATTTATTCTAATATCTAATTCGATCAATTATTCCTAATTATTCATAACTGATTGATGATGATAACAAGTTTGTAAATTGATATTAATAACAACTGAGTACGACAAGTAAACTTACTATACGAATTAACGATTGATAAAAACAACCTACGAAAGAATAACAAGCTAACGATTTGGACAAACTTACGTACAAACTCAAAAACGATTTGGCAAACCAATCAATATATAAAATCAAATGCGATGTAGACACGTCAACGATAACGAATACGACTTATGCAACAACAATATCAGCTAAACCATTTGGACAATAAGCTCTCGAAGATATCTTATATCGTACTATGAGGAAATTTCTTAGAAGAGGGAGAATTTTATAATGAAAATATTTATTTGGAACTTGTAAATTACGCTTAAATTTATTCATACATTTGTAAGAACTTATTTGAATAATTAGTTACAAAAACATTTTTATTTCTTACACTATTTAACCTATCGAAGTTATTCTATTTTATTATATCAAATATTTACTGAAAAAGTTTTATATAAATATATCTTAAATTTTAGATAGAAGATGTACTTTTATTTTATAATTTTGTAAATAAAATTAAATCATAATAAGTTAAATTCTTTTCCACCACCATATTGTCAATTCTTCATTTTCTATATTTCACATCCATAATTTTCATTTCATTTTTTTTAACATTAACAAAATGTTTTTCATCATTTTTTAAAAATCAATACACATTATACCTTTTTTTTCACATTATACTTAAAAAATTATTCATGCTAATTATAATCCCAAAATTTATATATTGAGCAATCTTTTCTCTCTTGTATTAAGTGAGAGAGGTCTTTTTTTCCTATGATAGATGCCTATTCCACACATGAGTCTTAAGACTTACAAAATAAAACTTAATAACACTGGGTTTAAAAGTTAAAATCAAAACATATCATACAGAAACCCTTCACCATATCCAAAATGGTCCCCAAAAAACAATTTCCGAAAGTAAACTTTTATCACAGTAATATATAATGGTCCTCCATTTATATCACCAACCTCTAAAATAAAAATAAACTCCTTTGAACCCATGTTTTACTTTTTATCACTTATATAAATTCTATTTATTGTAAAATAACTTTTCTAAAAAAGAATTTTTTAAAATAAAATCACTCTATTGAATTTTCGTCCTCTTCTTTCTTTTTAAATCAAATTTTCTTTAATTTTTCATAATTCAAAATTAACTTTACTTTTATAAATTATAAATTTAATTCTATTAATATTTTTTATTTAAATTAAATTATTACATATACCCAAATTTCTTTTTTTAAAACATTTTACATTTAAACTTCTTTTTTTGCCTTCCATCTATTCCAATTTTTCTCTACTTTCTTATTTTTAATTTTATACATTTCATACAAATATAATTCTTTTATCTTTTTATTTTGGCTGTGTATTTCCAATGTATTGTTACATTTTTCTGCAAGTGTCTCATCCTATAGTTTACAACACTGCACCCACCAAACTGTCGCACATATTTTTACAAAATTTAAAATTATCAGATCATCTTCTTTTTGAAAAGGAAAATTAAATCAATAATAATCTTTTAGAAAATATATTCACAAAAAATCCTTAAATGTCAATTACAAATCGACAGATACAACAGTACTTTTAAAATATAATTTAAATTAATTAGTATATTTTTTAGTGTCGATTCTAATTGATGTTTTTTCTATCGTCAATCAATGTCCTCTTTATTACGATTATTACAAAACTATAAAGTGCACATTACATTTAATGGTTTAATTTTGCTCTTTCTCGTGAATCACCATTTAATTTGTCATCACTTTTCAAAGTCAAACCTAAATATTTGGAAGAATTTACCTACTCTAACTTTCAATCAGGTTAGATAACTCTTCTTCTGCACTATACAACAAATAAGCCTTAGACACCATGTATGTTTTCCACCCATTATTTTACCAAATTTATACACCCCTTAATTTTAATTTTTTTACCAATTCATTCTTATCCCTACCAGCCAGTACTATTATCAGCAAAATCCACACACCACGGAAATACTAAATTCAGGTATTAAATAATTGTATCAAACACTTGTATAAATAAAAGGACTTTAAAGCTAACCCTTGATATAATAAACTTACATAAAATATTACACCAGGGTATTTTCTTTATATTTAAATTATCCTGCTGACTGGCACCTTTGTAAATCCCTGAAATAGGAAAGAATTCGTACATACATAGTTCAAAAATCTCCTTGTTGATAATATTGAAAAATTAATATGGGATATGGTAATTGACAATTTAATCTCTTTTTAATTCGTTTTGACAGATGATAACCCTTTATTTTGTGAATTACACAAACAGTGGCATTTTTATACCTATCTCTTGGTATCCAATGACCATCTTTTTATTATACCACACTAATTAAATTATTTTACTATTACTACTAGTTGGTTTAACATTTAATTTTTTTAAGATAAACTTGGTAATAACACTATCATGGCGTTAGTTCTTAATCACGTGTATTTTCGAAAGCCTTTGAGTAAAAATGTCACCGCTCGACATATAGGCAATCATGCCGATGAAGTTATTTGGGTGAATTTGCTAGAAGGAAGGATCGTTTCCGGTAAGAATCAAAACCAGAATGTCGAAATAGCGAAAGAACTACAATCGAAATCAAGTTATTTCTTCTTAAATAGTGGTCTTCTTGTATTTATAATTATTTACCTCGTTTTTTAAAATTAATTGGTTTCTTTATAACTAACTAAGTTAAAAAGAGCACTAATTAGCAGAGTTTGAAATTCACCTCAAAATAAAATGCTTTAAAGATGTTTGTCTGAAGATATTTTTAAGAATGGCCAAACAGGTTCTTTATTTTACCTAAATTCCAAATCTATGTAAATCTTTTTTTATTTTTGTGTATGAAGAATCTTTGATGATGAAATCACAAATTTAAAAAAAAAGGATTTTGATCTTTAAAAAAAATGTCAATTTTGTGATCTTCAAAAAATTTTGGACAAAAAAATCTCTGAAGGTTTTTTTCAAATTCTGCTATTAAAATTATATGTTACAAGGTATACTTCATTGTTCTCTGATAAACATAGTATATTAATTTATCAGGTGATGGTAAAAGCATTATTGACACTTCCTCCAGCAATAGCGATCATTCCCTAGGCAACACAGGATGTGGGCACAAGAGTAAAGCATTCTATTTCGAAACATTTTAAGAGACTGATTGTGTAAAATTTTACCTGAATCGTTGCGCGTTAAAATGAACTAGCCTTAATTTCTAATTTTGGGATATTTTTCTAAAATGAATATTACATTATTATATTAAACCACCAGAAAATATTAACATTATATTTAATATTTAAAATCAATTATCTCATCTTGAAATGTAAATATCATAAGACAATTATATTAAAACGTGTATGATGCAGCCATAGAGCGAACCTGAGTTCAGGTTTAGTACGAGTAAAGATTAGTGTATATGACCCTCCTTTGCTCAGGTCTGCTCTCAAAAATAAAAAATATATTCATATTCAAGTTGGAATATCTTGAATACAAATTCAATTTAAGATAAATATCAATGCCTTCATTGTGATCAGCTGATTAATTTGGCTGTTTTTAATATATTATAAATTATTGACTCTAATAGATCTGTCTAATTATGTCGATCTTTTTGCTAAAATCAATAAGGAAATATGTATGTTGATTGATATCAGCTTTTAAAATTGGATGAATTATTTTTTAAAATCTTAAATCAGATTATGGAGCATTTTGGTGACTGATGAAATCTTCTGAATTCATTTATTTTACGTCTTCATATTAAAATTTTTTATTATATATTTATTGCATGCACATATTGTTTATAAATCACTCTATCAATAAAACATTTCAAGTCAGGAGTAGCCACCCTTGTACCCTCCTTTTTGCGCTGCCATGCTCGCAATGAACAAAAAATTGATATTGCCATCAATGTTATCAACATATTAAAGAAACCAATCCAAATGTATAAAATTATTACAATGTGTATTTATTTACGTATGTATTTTCATTGATCTAACGTCGTCTTGAGCGGCCTTCCAAACATTATTTCGGCAGGGGATTTGCCGGTAGTTGCATTTGGAATATTTCGATGCGTAATAAAACATTCGCTAAATTTAACTGGTCCGGAGTCCCACCTCTCCTTCCAGCAAAACGCGTCTTTATCGTATGTATATAACGCTCAGCCAAACCATCCGTTTGGGGCTATAAGAGGCCGATCTAAAATGTTTTAGTTGTTTTTAAAAAGAAACGTTTTGAATTCAGATCCAGTAAACTGAGTACCGTTATCTGAGACAATGTAGCGAGGTAGCCCAAATCTATCGAAATAATTACGCATATAATTTATTACACTCGCCGAATTAATATTTGTTAAAATTGTAACTTCAACCCATTTGGTGAAAGCGTCTACGCAAATTAACCAATACTTTCCAGATACGGGGCTCTCAAATCAATGTGTATTCGTTCACAAGGTCAGGTAGGAATGTTCCAATTGTATAACGGCACTTCTCTGGCTCCCGATCTTCCCTCCTGACAACTCTTGCATAACGAACTCTTCAACATCACGATCAAGATTTGTCTAAAAAACATATAATCTACTTAATGATTTCATCCCTACTACTCCAAGATGTCCTTGATGAATAACATTCAAAACCTCCATCTTTAGATTATCGGGAATAATAATTCTATCATTATAAAATAATAATCCTTTCGAACGATATATTATCTTTAATTAAAAAAAAATTTTTTAAATCACCGAATAATTATTTATATTATTAATATACCAACGATTTTTAATTAATTTAATAATCTCTTTCAGATTGATATCATTGCTCGTTTCACTTACGATTTTACTGCTAATTTTTAATTCTCTAATTTCATCTTCGAATTTTTTTGTAACTTCAATAGTTTTTTTCTCTACCCCCAAACTGGACAGAGAGTCGGCACATTTGTTTTGATTACCAGGCCTATGAATTATCTCAGTCGTAATTTAATATCTTTGTCGCCCACCGTATAAACGGTTATTTGTTATTTTATTTAGGTCTCTTTTAACACCTAAGATATATTTTAAAGGTTTATGATCCGTAACCAAAATAAAATGTATTCCATAAATATATTGATGAAACTTCTCGATAGCGAACATGATCGCCGAAGCCTCCCGATCAATTATGGCGCAATTCTTTTCAGCCGCCGAAAGGGTTCTCGATGCATAAGCAATCGGTTTCTCCTGGCCAGTAAGAAATCGGTGTGCAATAACAGCTCCAAAACCATCTTCGGAAGCGTCACAAGAAATGACGACAGGAATATTCGGCTGAATAAGGAATTATTGTATCTTCTTTTGATAGTATTTTTTTAACTCTATTAATTAAATATTTCATTTTCTTTAGCTGACCAAAACCAACTAACATTTTTACTCGTTTGTCAGTGTAAAGACTCACAAATATAATGTAAATTTTTTATAAATGACTCATGGTAATTCACGATTCCAAGAAACGAACGTAATTCTTTAACATTATACGGTGTTTTACAATTTTTTATGGCATAATATTATCTTCTATAGGGTGAATTCCGAATTCGTCAATAACATGACCTAAATAAGTTACTGACTTTCTCTATTTTAATTTTATAGGTCATCGTTGTCAGTCCAGCCTTATCAAATCTTCTTAATACCTCTTCTAGATTAACTATAAATTATTCTCGCCTGCAATAAATACGTCGTCTAAAATTACACTAACCATAGGAATTCCCTTTAATAGGTTTTGCATGCTTTGAAATATTATCGAAGCGTTAGTCAACCCAAAAGGGATTCTTTGGTATCGGTAATAATCGACCTGAGTCGAAATTACTAAAAAGTCCCTACATTCTGGACTAACTCCGAATTGTAAAAACGCATCTCTTAAATCTATCGTTGAAAATATTTTACCACCCGTGATCCTATTTGTCAGGTCGACGAAAGTTGGTAGTAAATTGTTATCTATCGCTAAATATTTCTTGATTGTTAAGCAAAAATCTCAGAATATCCCCACGACACCGGATTTTTTTAAGATATTAACCATTGGCGTATCCCAAGTGATGGAATTGTTGTTGGATCCGCCTTCTCGATGACGCCTTCTACTAAAAGTCTGTCCAACTCATTTTCAACGGTTCGACGCAACGGAAATGGAATTCTTCTAGCCGGTAGCGCAATCGACACTATGCTCGGTTGTATCTTGCTGACGGCTTCCTGTAATTTTATTTGTCCTATTTTTTTAAAAAAACTTGCGGAAATTTTGAAACAATAATATTTAAACTGAATTCATATTTATATTATTAATCCGAACTTCTTCTGGAAGTTTTATATCAAATTCTATAAGAAAAGGCATTCTAAAAATAAGGGAATTCTCATTTAAAATAGTCTTTACTTCGACCTCTACTAAACATTTACCCATACTTCGATTTTGTTATGATTATATCCCACTAGTTTATAAGCAGGCGATAATGATGGTTTGCCTATGCTATTCTAGGTAACCTCATCTATCACATTACACACAGCACCAATATCAAATTCCATAGTAAACTGCAGCCCATTTATCTTCGCATCGATTGTAGCTTTATTAGCGAAAAACAGGCGAGGTGTTCGTGATAGAATCATTTGTATGGCGTGCGGTTTGCTTTTCCGCACCGAAAGCATATTACTTTCCTCTGGTTGAAATTAGGTTTAAAACATGATTTATAATTATTAGGAGTATAATTATTATGGTTGAATTTGTTAGCATTATAATAATTATTATTATTGAATTTATTAACGTTATTATAATTATTATTCCTTAAATAAGTATTTTTGGAACCTTGTTTAGGCTTATGCTTATTTATTTTATTAACTTCTGCCTAGGTTTCCTTCTCCAATGAAGACAACGCGATCACTAAACGCACAGTATCTTCAAAAGTGATATTTCCTTAGGTATATTTTGACCGAAGTTCTTTGTCCAGCTCAGGCAACCCTACTCCTAAGATAAAAATATCTCTTAGGAGTTTATCAACCGGCGATTTAAAATTACATAAAGAACAAATACTTTTCAATTGATTGAAAAATTGATAATAGTTTTACCGCATCTTTTTAAAGTAAAAAAATTATTATGATATAGGAAAATACTAGAAATATCCTTAAATCTTATCTCTAGACTACTAGTAAAGTTAATAATTATAGCTCTTTAAATTATTTGGGTAGTGGAAATTTTTAATTTTGTTCCTATGTATGCTAATATCAATTTGTTTTTTATTTTGATCAACAATATTTTTACTTTGAAAATGAGTTCTATATTATATAGGTAATCCTAAATATTAACTTTTTCTTTGACGAATTCTGGAATATGGAATTGAGTAGAAGTTGATGTTTCTTCTTTTCTTCAGAAATATCTTCTTCGATTCTTCGTTAGGCATAGTATAATTTTAACCATTTTGTTTAATACGTCTCTTTTTTTTAAAAAAAAATCGTCACCAAATGAAATGAAGTGATTTATTTATTTATGTTTAAAATATATATCCATATACACTTTTATAAAATCGTTTATCTATTTTATCTATTACAATAAATTGTAGCTTAAAACCAAATTAACAAAATACAATTTATATTTATATATATAAATGCAAAATAAATTATTGAAAGAACCTTAATATGAAAAGTCACCTTATTTTTTTTTAATTTAAAAATCAATAAATGTTTACCTAAATTCAGAAGATTTCCTCAATGCATGCCATCATTGCATTTGCGTACGCAGCGGCCCCCCCCCCCCCAAAGCCAAAAAAATGCAGATGCCGGATTATATTTTTCAAAAATTTTATTGTTAATATTAATTTATATTTGTTAATATTTATTCCTATCTCATATATATATATATTTAATTACATTTATTTATAACATTCATCTACTAAGTTATTTTATCAATTAATTTCGATTTCAAGTTTTCCTTGGTGTAATTTACCTATTATTTTCAAATTTTAGTGGCGTAATATTTATCTAAATTTCTAGTCAAATAATAATTATCTCTGAAACTCCTTGTACAACAGGGAGAAAGAAATTACAAGCTTGTCCAACGAGATCGAGTCTCCACCATCAAGCAGTAAAAGCTATTATGGAGTTAGAAGAGCCGATTATTAATGCTATTACTGAAATATCACAATGGCTTGAAAGAAATATTTCGTCAGAAGCAAGAAAATTATTGGATTCAATACTTATTCCAAATTTTTTTTCTCATTAGAATGTATTATTTAATTATACAACTATTTTATGTAATACTTTTCAAAAACATAACATTGACTTGATTAAGAATATGAGAATAGCGGATAGCATTTTATTATAACTCAAGGAAATCTAATGTTGATGAAGAATTTCATATTTTATATGTTATTGTTGAGTCAAAAGCAGAGCTATACGTGTTTAATATTTGTCCCCCTCGACTTGCAGCAAGCAAGCTAATCGTCAAAACATTAATATAGGATCAGTAGAAGAGTATTATAAACAAATGTCCCCTTTCCCAACCTTTTTCATATGGTGATAGGAAAAAAATATAAATATTTGTTAGATTTTTATCATGAAGATGTTGAAATATCTTATGATGCCTTATTAGCTGAATAACTATGATTAAAAGATTAACTATGGTTACAGTTCCAAAAAATGCTATGGATGCTTTGCATTATATCAAACACATTTTAGATTATACTCCCAGTGTATTAAAATGGATATATATATATTAGCAGCTCTTTAGTAAACTAATGAGAGAACATTCTCTTTTTTAAGAAGAATAACAGAGCCTTGCAGAGGTACCATTTGCAGGACACGGCCTAGATTTTTTTTAAAAATTTTTTCTGGCCCGGGTTTTTTTTTAAAAAAATTTTCAGGCCCGGCCCGAATTTTTATTAAATAAATTATATTTATTTTTGATTTTTATAGCTAATAATGGCGATTTCAAATATTTGGTTTTAAAATATACAGCTCGGCCCGGATATTTTTTCTAAAAAAAATTTCAGGCCCAACCCGAGTGTTTTTTTTTAAAAAAATTACGGGCCCGGCCTGGGTATATTAAAAGAAATTAAAATACGGTCCTGCTCGGGGGCCGGGCCTGCAAGTCTGTGAAAAACATACCTATGAAATACAACATCTGAAAGTAGATTGAATGATTTGGATCTTTTGAATATTCAAAGGCATTTAACGCCAAGCAAGGATAGATAATTAAAAAATTAGCTCAAAAAATACAAAATATAATTATTCCTAAGAAACTTTTTGTGTATTAATTTATATTTCCAACATTTAATTTTTTTATACTTTATATATTTTAAAAGCTCAAAAAATTCAAATTTCAATTTTGGGTCATTTAAATGATTCATATCGTGAGTTATATTCACTTTATATTTTATAATTCACATTTATTTTTTAGTTTTTCAATGCCGGTTTATATATATAATTTTTTTAATTCACATTAGTTTAAAATTGTGTATTAGAAAATTTATTAGTCCTAATAAATTTATGCTTAGTATTTTTAATTAACAATAATATTTCTTAAAAAATTTTATTATCCCTCCCCCCAGACCAAATTCCTGCGTACGCTCCTGCATCATTGAAATCATAATTGGTAACTGAATAGACCTTTGTCTATGTCTATAATCAGAGAATTTATAAATATCATATAGCCAACTTTAAAGGCTCATAATATGCATATTTTCCCAGAGCCTTTAAAAATAACCGAAAAACTATAATAATGCAATAATTAAAGAGAGCTAATTTCGATAAAAATCGATGCTACCAAAGATTTTGGCAGAACTATTATAGTCATTTATTTACAATATATTAAAAACAACGACCTAATAACACTAAAAACCAGTAAAATGGCAAAAGGCTGTACAAATGAAAATATTAAGTAAGAGATTCTAGACACCATGCAAAAATACAATTTTAATTTAAAACAATTTACACTAGTACTATTACATCAGATGAAGGGCTAATTTTTTTATCTTTCTATTATACTTTTCATATCATCCTGATAGGAAAAGTTTTACATGGAAAATACCATAAATGATTTATTTATTATTTCTGCCTTTAAGATAATACCACCGTTCCTATAGCTTCTAACTCAACTCTTTCCTTATCTTCATCTTCGTACGCTTCCTCTTCATCTTCCTCTTCACCATTTCCCAATGACTCTTCTTCTACCCCCTCTTTTCACCTTGAAGACTCCAAAGCCCTATTATCGGTTCCCAGCGTGGCTTATGGTCGTCGCACTAAAGACAAGAACCACGCGACTGATACTTCCGATACTGCATCGATTCCTCCCACTCCCGGCCTCCGTAGAGCCAAGTTAGTTTATTTTAAAAAAAATTCGCCATCTAAAATCAAGGAGCATATATAGAATGTAAAAAACAAAGCATATTTATGAAGTTATAATCTATATAAATTTATTAAGCTTTCAGCTGTGTCTAGGTTCGACTTATTTTTGATACTAATTGCCCTAGGCTTAACAGCTTTTGAACTAGTACATCTTTTTTGGTTTGTTAAAGTATTTAGTGGCATTGTTATTTTTCATATTTTTTTTTCTCTTACTTTTTAGACTGTTTAGCCATAGATATATAGTCGACTAAATAGCCGGCTGTTTTGTAATAAGTCGAACCAGGACACCCCTAATAACATTTTTATGACACATTATATTCGAAACATGCTTAATTTATATCATGGAATTGAACGAGAAGAGATATTCTAAATTTTAGCGTCGTTATGACAACTTAAACGTTTTTTTTGCCTTGTATTATGAATCCAAATAAACCTTTAACATTTTTTTCTGAAAATTATTTCAATGTGAAAGTAGCGAAGTGCAGTGTATGAAAATTATGAATAAAATCTGCTGAATATTATATTTATTATCTTAACATTATATTTCTAAGAATCAAAATTGCCAGAAAGAAAAAAATAAAAAACCCCACCCGCGAAAATACAATAAGTAGTACTACTAGCCTCAGTAAAAATGGAAATATTACGTCATCTATTATCAATAGATTAGATGATAACCACGTTTTGAATTATAGGGAGATTTGCGGAGAGGATTTAGGAGATAAGCTTATACGGCACTTTTCCACCACTATCAACACCTTGACTTTGCCTAGGAAATTGTTGGATGCTTATTCTAAAACCTTTTGGTTCAAGACTCGGCAAGAAGTTAATCTTTACCTGAAAATTTTTACACGCGCGTTATTTCATTCATTCTAACGTTATTTATTTTAAAATGTTTTTTAAAATAAAATATTGCTTTACAGGTGTCTTTGGGAGACATTTTACCCCTAGGAGGAGCCGATTTGGACTCAGATTTGATCAGGAAGTCGCGAAAATTTAACGATGAACGTATTAATGATATTATCGATGATGACAGTAACGAGTATATTATTTTTTCCTCTAAAAAAATATATCTGGTTTATATAATAAGGTGTAAAAACTTGATGTAATATAATCAGGGACATGGAACGGAACTTTCAATTTTTATTTAATTATAATTAATTCTTCGAAATTATTAATTAAATACCAATTACAAGTAATTATTATATTTTTATGTAATGGCGGCAATTACCATTACTTTTTAAAATGCATAAGGCTAAATTAATGTTAAAAATCTAAGGTCTTTAGTTACAATAATCATAATAAATATTTATTGTTTTACCTCATAAAACTATTTATCAATTTCATATTCTTTTTCTTATTTGAACAAATGTTTTCTTATTATACCCTTATCCGTTTTTATTTGAAATATTAAATCACTCTCTTTGTATATAAAAACTCCTTTATCCCATTTGTTTTCTACCCGGTTAAAGTGTTTTTATCTTCTATTTTATCTAAATGTGTTAATAAATCCTCGAATTCTTGTATTGTTACTAAACATTATTTTATTAGGCGCAATTTCTGTTGTGGCATTTAATATATTTCTATAATTAGATAAGAATTTTTCAAGTACAATCTCAGATTCTTTATTTTTATTTTCCATGTTTCTTCTCTTGCATTTTGAATGTTCTTACCATTATTTCAACTTGTTTATTTGATTGTTGATAATAGGCTGATGTAATTATCATTATAAATTTTTAAAATAAATGATTTGTAAAATTTGAACTTATCAGTTATTATAATCTCAGGTATTCCAAATAGTGAAATTATTTTCAAAATTTCTTTTAATTATAAAAAACATAAGGAAAAGGAATTCGTTAGCACCCAATATGTGGATTCTTATTTTATGGGCTAAAGTTTTTAAAAAAACTAAAATTAGAGGCAAAGTGTCTACTTGTGGTAGTGGCAATTGGAATAAAAATGAAGCTATCAAATTTTTTGTATTGGTTTACTATTGATATTTGTGGGGCAAATGGTAACTAGTGTTAAAATAACCCGATTAAAATTTTAGCCAAAATAATATTATGTAAGTTTTGAGATTTGGCAAATAGAGGCCCATACCTTTCTGCCATTTATGAGAAAAATCTTTAGACTTGTATAATATTATTTTGGCTAAAAAACGGGCCGTTTAACAACATTACTGAGATAAGAGATTTACCTAGGCCCATGGAAAGGTTGCCGGCGATGAAAGGTTGCGAGGTTCTAAAATATTAGGTAATATGTTTGGTTATTATTCTTTAGAGTTTTCTAATATTTCTTATATAATTCTTTGTATTTCAATCAATTATTATATTCTCAATAACTCTAAAATAAAATTATATATATTAACAATGATAATACTAGTTAGTTTTATTCTGGTTTATTAATCCTGGTAATTTTAAATAAATATTGTTCCATTTTTTCTTTATAACAAAACTAATATATTCAATCTTTTTGAAAAGTTAAAATTAACAAATGAATAAATGTCTAAAAATTTGTTCGAAGGTCTTTTCCTTTCTTCATTTTACCATTCGCCATTTCATATATTCTCCATTTATGACATTAGGGATTCGAGCTTTTTTTAGAAATAGACTGAGAAGTTTACTTATTGATGAATGGTGATGTTGACGACCCTGGCATTTGAAAAAATTTAACCCATGTCTGTCCAGCATCAGTTACAATTCAGGCAAATATGAGGTTGGAATATGTTGCAGAGCCTAGTCTATGACCTAGGATAACTTTTAGTTATTCATTAGTTAAGAGATTCTCAGTTTTATTAGGCAAAGTTTCCAACCACTCATCGTCAAATTTATTATATTTTAAAAGAATTTGATATCTTCAAATGGAGAAGAAGTGAATAAAATAGAGTAAAATTTTAAAATTAAGAAGATATTTGTAATTCATTATATCGAGAAAATTGTATCTGTTAAAACATTATTCTACCACATTGCAAGGACCTGGTTAAGTAAGTTATCATTAGAGGAGATCAAGCTGGATATTAGCCAGTTGTTTAATAGTCGGGAAGAAAGGAAAGATGAGAGAGACAGGGTATGAAGGGATAATAGGTCGACGACACCCTTTTTAAGTAGAAGTTGAGCTAATATCTTAAATTGAGTTAAATTACGATTAAAAAATTTTCCCAAAAAGGTTTTAAATAAGGACTTCCAACGTTCTATAAATTCTTTGTAAAATAGATATGCACGAAAGAGATGTAATTTTTTTAGAGCATAAACATTTGCGAATTAGATGGCGATGGAAGGATATTTAGGATTGGGTCAAGGCTGAATATGTTGTGAAATATTTTGACTAGAGATTCTTCAGATGGAAGGATGTTTGATAAAGATAAGCCCAAAAGTGATTATTAGGTTCAACTGTTTTTGCAGCCAGATAAAGCTAATTATCTTAAACAAATTTCTGTTTTCGTTTTGTTTAGGATAAGATCTATGTTTTTAGAATTGGCTTAAAGGAAGTTCAAAACTTCGATTAGTTTAGGAAGTGGACCACAAATTGTTCCATCGTTATGATACCTAATATTTAAATCAAATTTATATTTAAAAACATGGAGGTCATGAATGCCAAAGCAGAATAGGAGTGGTCCAAGTGGGTCTCCTTGTTAGATGTCTTCATCACAGTCTATGGTATTCGTGACTTCTAAAAATTTGGAGCAATCGGGGATCTTTTGATAGAAACATTTTTAAAAATGAAAGCGAAATAAGCTCTTAAATGTTGAAGTCCAGTTTGACTATAAAACTATTGGGAGGATGATTTTTTATATAAATTCGTATCCTAATTGATAAGTACTTAGAATATTTGTTGATTTTATTTTAATACAAAGAATTTTTATCCCACTTGCCAATATTCTTGGTGTTTTTGGTGAGAAATTACTTAAATTTATCACATTAGGGATATAATTAGGCCAAATAAATGGCGATCATAATCTGGCCTTCTATTTTAAATAAGTCATTACGATGACTATTCATCATCTTTCCATATAGTAATACAAGGAAACTGATCTCTTAAATGTTTTCTTTAAATTTAATTTTTATTTCACTTTTTTGTTTTTTTTAAAATTTTTATATGTATACGATTATATTTTTATAATCGTATATTTTTTTTATATGCCTTGTTTTAAATTCGTTTTTTAATAATAAACCTTTATATGTATACGATTATATTTTTATAATCGTATATTTTTTTATATGCCTTGTTTTAAATTCGTTTTTTAATAATAAACCTTTATATATATATTAAAAAACATATTTTAATTTATTTAAAAATTGTAATTTGTTATCCTAAGATTTTTATCATTACAAATTAATTTTATTATTGCAATCAATTACAATTACTTTTTATCTTGATATTACAATTATTTATTACTATCTTGCAGGGTTGGGCAGTATCGCGGATATTTGTATCTAAGATACAAGATACTTTTGTATCTTGTATCTTTTTTAAAATTTTGGAAAGTATCTTGTATCCAGTATCTAAGATACATATTATTTAAAAGTATTTATATCTTAACCAACTTTGTATTCAAAAAGATACAGATAGTTTAAAAAAAAATTATATTGGTTAATTTAAATAGTATTAAAATTCAAAATGATATTGTTTTAAGATTTAAATGAAAAATTTAATCAAAATTTAGATATTTTAAGATAATTTTTGATATATGACGTTGGTCGTCATATAGCAATTTGTTAACAATTAAAACTACCATATTTGAATCGTTTTATATCTGTCTATTTTAAAATTATGGAAGAAGAAAATAGAATAATATGTTTATCTTCGTCTTCAGATGATTCTTCAACCGAAAATTATAACAATAAATTTAAACTAATCATACTTAATGGCAAATTTTTTGAAGTACTTCAAGATGATCATAATAAAGAAATTCATCGTTTTTTGACGAAAAAGTTATAGCAACTGTTACGATAACGGCTCTAACTTTAAGAAAGCTTTCAAGGAGTTTGGATATTCTATGGAAGCTGTAGAGAATGACTTTGACATCAATGATAATGAATGTATAAAATTCGAAATCATTATTATTTAATACTTCTTTAAAATTTATTATGATATTGTAAATTTAGTAAAAAAATTTTATTCAAATAAAATTATTTATTTGTTTATTTAAGGGTCTAAAGAAGCCTCAATAACATTGCCTCAACACATTCGTGTTTGTGCCATACGATAAGTCTAATTGCCACAACAGATGTCGAGAGAGCTATTAAGGATTCTCCTAACATTTCTAAAATTCATCATCCTGCAATAGCTAAATGTACTAAGCTATGGAATGTAGGCCTAAAACTGCAGAACTTATCAAAGCAGTTTTCGGAAAACAATTAGTTACACCTTGTTGCACTAGATGAAATGGTTTGTATGATAGTCTTCATAGTTTATTAAAATTTAAAGGCGATTCCTAAATTATGTCAAAAATTAGAATTTCCTAAATTAAGAGATATTGAAATTCAATATTTATAAGAATATTGCAATATAATGGCCCCATTGGCTATAGCGATTGACAAAATACAGAGTGAAATCAACTGCTATTATGGAGAATCAGCTCCAATTTTAAATGGCGTTAAAAAAAAATTACAAATTTAATTCAAACCAATCTACAATTTTGCAAACCATTAGCTATTGCCATAGAAAATTATTTAAATAAAAGATTTAAAAATATATATGATTTTGATAACAATTTTAAAAGTGCATTTTTGGCAACTATTTCTCATCCCTATTTTAAAAATCGTTGGATTGATGGTGAAAAAGAAAAAAAATACCTTCAGGATTTGTTATTACATGAAGTTTTAATTGTTTTTAAAAATAATATTGAAATTAATACTTCAACAAAATCTTCAATTGATGAAGATGATGATTACTTTTGCCTAACTACCACATCTAATTCTAATAATTCAATAAATGATATTGAAATAGAGGTCCTAAATTATATGAAAGATGACAGGCGGAGTATAAATATGTTAAATAGTTATAAATATATAAAAAAAATATTTATTAAATATAACACAATATACCCTCCTCAGCCCCCGTTGAAAGATTATTTAGCTTTGATAATATGATTAATAGACCAAATCGTCAAAGATTGAACGATAAATCATTTAAATTAATCATATTAAAAAATAATGGTGATTTATGATGCTGATTTATTATTATTTACTAATTATATAATTATTAAATGGAATATCGCATTATCTTTTATAATAAATTTGTTATTTTCTACAATTTATTTTAAATATTTTTTTATAAATTTATATTATAGATAAGAAAATAAAGCTTTATACATTTTGATTTTGACTATTTAAAGTTTTAAAAAAAAGTATCTTGTATCTTAGAAACTTTTTTTTAAAAAAAATACAAGTATCTTGTATCTTATATCTTATTGAAATTTTTCTAAAGTATCTTGTATCTTAAATACAAAATTTTATAAAGTATCCGTATCTGTATCCGAATACAATTTTCTGAAAATTTGCCCAACCCTGCTATCTTGATATTACAAATATTTATTACAAACAATAATTTTATTTTAAATTTCTATATAAGATAAGTAATCAATTACTGCATAATTCTGGAATGGAATTCCCAAATTTTTGGTATTTATTATCAATATTGATTTTTAAATTCTAGAAAGCTAATTGGTGATTTTTTTTTTAAATAAAAAATGTTCCTAAAAAAACTATATTTTAAAATTTAATGATAGATGCACTACATACAGACCATCTTTATTCATTAAAATTTATTTTTTTTACATTCTCTTTTTTTCGATATAATATGTCTTGTAGAAAAAGAAATTTTGAAAGAAAAAAAAACAAAAATAATAAGTCTAAATTATCAAATATTCACAATATATTATTATAAACACATCTAAAAAATATATTCCATATATTCTTCCAACTAACAGTGCTCCAAAACTAAGTTTAAGAACATGTAAAAATTCCGACAATCTTGCCATTCATCCTAGTCTGAAATACAGCAGTTCAAGGCCGAGATTGCTCTCTACCACAATTTCCCTTGGTGGAGAGTCGGATAGCGGAGGTATATTTCGCGATTCCACACGAGAAACTTATAGATATATTTCAGGAGCAGAAAGCGGATCCGTTAAATCCTCTCCCGGAAGCCGCAAGGAGTCCGGTAACCAAGATAGGTAAATAAAAAAAGTCAAGAAATACTATCCTTTTTCTTTGTTTTTTCCTTCTTCTATTATCATTAAAAGGTAAATTATATTTAGAATTTTTAAATTTGAACCCTCAAAAATTTTGTCCCCCGCACTTGAACTGAACCTCTAAAAATGTATATGAACTATTTTGAACCTTCTGATTTCATAACATTTTTTAATATATCATTAACCATTTTTAAATATTTTTGTATGTCGCTATTTGACGGTGTTAACTACCCAAATTACCATATCAAAGTATCAACCATCGAATTTATTCCTTCTTCATATAGATATAATTTATCAGAATAGAATCCCTAAAATATTTTAATTATATTCAGGGGTGGACTGACCTTATATACACTAATGGAACTGGTCCCATCAAAATGTCCTGTTTGGGGGAGGGGGGGGGGGTCTTTAAAGCCCAAAAAATATAATAGATGGATGGCCTAGCTCTTTTATTAAATTTTTGAAAATAATTATGTATTTAAATGAGTGAATGCTAAATACGCATTTTATTACATTATTTATTATAAACTAAACATTAATTCATAAACAAATTTATTTTCTCTAAACTCATTTTACATTTATGGAAATCAAATAAATTGTGTTCAAAACCTATTATTAGTTTAATAATAATAAAGTAATTAAAAATAACATGTATACTATGTATAAAATAACATATATAAATTAATTTTAAAAGCCATATAAAAAATATTTAAAAAAAACACCATTTTAAATTTTTTAAAGAGAAGTTAAAAATAGTCGTCCTCATCTGATTACGGCCGGGAATCTATAAATTATTTAAAATTATAGCGTAAAATTTTAAAGATAATTTATTATTTGATCAACACTCGAGATTGTTGTTTTAGGGTTCTTTTATCGAATTAATTTGATTAGAGATATAGTCTCGTTCCCAAATGAGAAGTTTGTTGATACTACGATGGGTATAGATATATTATTGTCGGCTAGATATGTCCCTTTTCCGCTATGTCCAAGAGATCTTAATTATTATTAGATGGGGAGAACATTTATACATGTAAAGTCCCAATAAATTTCATATTCATTGCAACTTAATTTTTACATCCTTCATTAGAAAGTTGCTGTTTATGACATTAATTTCCTTATTTATAATATTCGAATATATTTACCCCTTCGATTAAACAATTGCTTTGAACCCTCTCCCCCTTAATGTAAAGACTAGGGATGAAAACCCCGTATTTTTTTTTCGTTTGTTTATTTCCTGAAGGAACGGTTTTTTTCATCCTTAGATATCATACGCCAAATTTTTGTTAGTTTTGAGAGATTTAATATTTTTATCCAACAAATTGAAAAAATTAATAAAAGTATAATGGAAATAGTCTTGAATGAAATTTCTATTCTATCAAACCGAAACGAATATTGACTTCGTTATAACAAGTCAAGTAGCTTTTTCACAATCATAAGGAATGGAGTGGTTCGGGTTCAGATAAAAATAATGTTTTGGGGTTCAGATTTGGTTCAAAAAAATAACAATAATGTATATTAGAATTATAAGCACTTTTTTTTATTTATCATTAAAATACACATACATATAAAAAGTCTATTTTTATTAGTTGATTGCACATTATAAATAATGTCTAATTTATAAATTATAACAGATGAACATAATTTATTAACTACAATGCTGAACATTTTATACTTAAAAAAAAGTATTGAAATGTACAATTAAAAAATTTACTAAATTTACCTCAATCAAATTACATCTATATAGAGATCTTTCAATTTACATTTATAGGACGGAAACATCTGCTCGACACTTTTTAAGCGAGACGGCACAGAGTGTTTTAAACGGCCGCGGTGTGGGATGGTTAAAGATGCCCAAATTGCGCGAGCTACTGAAGCAGGAGTCATGTCGGCTCTATATGGCTGACAAGTTGAACAGAAATTCTTACGGACGGCAAGGGAGTTTCTCTTACGAAGAGAAGGGAGTAGATAAAAAGGAGAATGCTGGAAACCGCGAACGATTCCCCGAGCCCACGGAGATTGACCTCAACGATTTTGAAAGCTTGCTAGCCACTTCTAAGACCGATTTTATACCGGAAGTGGTAATATTCCTTATTTGGGAATGATATATTTCTTATGTTTATACATTGACTAAAAAAATTAAATCCTTGACTTACTAAATTAACCATATTAGAAATCTAGCCTTCTTGATATCCTTATTCATATATAATATTATCGCCATTAACCTAGTTTTATTAACATATCTTTCTCTTTATATATCACCTCTCATTTGAATGTCTTAAATATTAAGTTTCAGTAAATAATCATATTTTTACGGCCTTGCTCAAATTATAATAAAATCAATATTAAAGTTTAAAATCAAATATAGGAAAATATTGATCAATTTTGACAGAGCTATAACTTCGGCAAAAATTAATATTTTTTAATCTAGTTTTTATTTTTATATATATTGGGAATAAATAGGTTTTATCCACTTCTAACTCGAAAATATTGAAAATGTCGAGTGGAGCACTCCAATTCTAGACCGACGATATTACTAGATTTAAATCGGGCAGCTTGCTCTATGCATTTATTTAGATGTATAAATAGAATTTGGACCTATATAGTTTACTTTGATTTAATCTCATTATAAATACTTATGTGATAGTGAATCTGGGTTTATTCATATCCTGTTTTAATTTTTAATTAGCTAGTTTCAAATTGTAGATTATCCAGGCTTCCTTAGTCCTAATGTCTGCATTCCATGACTGAAATTCAATATTATGATAAATCTCTTAAAATATTTTCAAGCATCGTAATTTTAAAATAAAGTAATTGTTTTCATTCTCATATTAAATTAATAAATTAAAAGAATAAACAAAGAAACATTTATTTTAAAAAATCATTCATGGTTGATAAATAAATTATGGTTCGAACTGTGCAGTTGGCTAACTAATAAATATTGAACCGCGCTTTGAAATATATATTTTTTATAATTTATTCGAAATATTCGAAATAATTCCTAGATGTACGGAGTTGGGCAGTACCGCGAATACTTGTATCTAAGATACAAGATCCTTTTGTATCTTGTACTCAGTATCTTATTGACATTTTTAATAAGATACTAGTATCTGTATCTAAGATCCTTTATTTTGAAAAGAATCTTGTATCTTTTTCATTTTCTTTAAAAAGATACAGATACAGATTTTTTTTAATATTCATGTTTAGAACATTTACATATCACACAATGTAACTTTATTTTCTGTGAAATCTTGTATTATTTTTTTTATTTTTTGCTATATTTTAAATATATTGATAACTAAAATTTGTTGGAGATTTTACAGATCACAAAGATAGATATATTAAAAATAACAACACCAAAAATAAGAAAAGGATATATTTTATATGAAATATTTTTTAATTTGTAGAATGTTTAACATATATAGTAGTGAAGATGAAATTATAGAGATAGGTACTCCTGAATCAAATCCGAATCTTAAAATTCTAGATAGAAAATTTTATAAAGTAATTCATGTGAAAAAGGACAAGGTACAAGCCGAATGTCAAAATTGCACAAGTAAAAAAGTTATTAAAGGTTGAAAAAACTCCTCTACAAACTTTGTTAAGCATATTAAAGTATAGTATACATTTTTATTTTATAATTATTAACATAATAATACCTATACATAAGTCCCTCTTAGATAATTGTTATTAAAAATTTTTATAGAAGATGGATGGTTGATTATCAAATTAAAATCATTTTTGGATATATACCGATGCCACTTTTTAGAGGTCGATTTGATCCGATATTCCCGATATATTACCGATCCGTTATCATATATAATTTTGTATTCTGTAAAGATACCAATGGTTTTAATTTTTAATATACTTTTTATTAGTATAACATCTATAATTTAACTACACCATAACTTATGTCATTTAAATATATTATAATGATCAGTTATAGTTTATATTCAATTCGATTGCAATTCTAAAAAAATATTTTTATTGTTAAATTACTTTTATATAATAAGTAATAACATTAATCTATATACATATTAAGTAATAAACAATTGTATTATGAAATTTGAAATAAATATTTAAAATAATATTTAACATTAATATAGCGAAGATTTCTTTTTAGAAATACCAATATTTCCAATTTATCAGAGGTCAGCTTGCGGCGATAGTAATTGTCAATATCACCAGCTTCACTAAAAACAGATTCTGAAGAGATTATTGCACACTTTTATAAACAGAATGCGCAAAAAAATAACAATATGAATGTTATTAATTTATTATTATTAAAAAATATACATAAAAATGGATTCCGATTTTATTTATAAAAATAAATGATTTCAGATATAACTATTTTTTTTAATTTTATAACATTTTAATTTTATTAAAGAAGCCATTTTTATATCGGATCAAATTTTATAATATTGACCGATAACCGATATTTTAAAATGGGTAAAATATCGGCCCGATGCGATCCGATAAAAAATATCGACACATCCCTAATATAATTTATATTTAATTATTTTAGAAAGTTCTTAAAATATTTAAGCTTAAATTGATATATAATATTAGATAATTTTAAAAGGCTCTTAATAAAATAATTATAATAAGGTAGAATTTAACTTTATTAGTTACTTTAATTTATTTATGATATAAGTAAAATTACATTACAGTATTTATTTACAAAATTTAATCAATTTAAAATGCATTAAAGAAAATTGCTATGTAATTAACAATTAAATAATATAATGTTGTACATTATTTTCATATTTTTTATATAATTAATGATTTTGCAAGAAATATATAAAAAAAATTTGAAAAGAGATTTAAATGATATTTATATATATATATATGATATTACAAATGCAAGCATTAATAAGTCAAATTAGAAAATATATCTAATTTAAAAAATACATAAATATCACAAACAAGTAATGATAAATACTTATTAAAGATAATGAATAAAATAAAACTAATATATTTTTTTTAGAGATGCCATTTAGCCATATACTCCGAATATAATCTATATTTAAAACAACAGAAAATAACCTGCAAATTCTAATTAACCATTTGATTTAATTTTTTTTCTTATTTGCACATTTTCAACTACCATTAAATATAATACTCTCCCTTCCCTGTTTATACTATTAATGGCAGCGTCTACATGATCGGGAGGGGTAGGAACAGTTTGCATCCTATTTTTTTGAGGGGGTAGGGGGTAAGCTGCTTTAATAGGGGTAGGATAAATTTTTTGGGTGGTTATCTATTAAATTTTGAGATTAAATAGGACAAAATTTTTTGCTGTAAAAATTATACTTTTATTATAGTATTATTATAATACAATTCATCGACCAAATCTATATATTGCAAACAATCATACACATTGTTTTCCAAATAAACTATTCTTTTAAATGTAATTTAAAAGGTTTAGATATTTCTGCAAGCTCATAATGCCATAATAATTAATTTATTGTAAATAATGGAGGTTTTAATTGAATTTATTAGCTAAAAAATAAATTCTTTATATTCACAAAATATAGATAGTTGTTAGTAGAGATTTAATTTAAGTTATCCTTTATAAATTCTTTGAAAAGAGTATCAATAAATAAATAGGTGAAAATAATGAGAAAGAGACACCGCCGCCGAAGGCGTCTATTTTTTAGGGGGGTAGGCAAAGATTTTTGAAGGGGGTTTGCATCCAGTGAAAATCCTATCATGGAGACGCTGATTAATGGGCAAAAATTAATATTAAAATCTCTGGTTATTATAATTTTTTTGTGAATACGAATGATTTTTTTAAATTTCTTTTTACATAAAACCTAGTCATCAATAAATATTTTATTAATTATTGAAAATATTCATTCTTATATGTGTATGCTATGTTCTTCACAAATAAATAATAAAAACTGTATTTTATAAACTATTCTAATTTAATTGGTAATGATAATTTAAAAGTATATTGTATTTAAGATATTCTAATTTAGTAAAAGATACAAGTATCTTTTATCTTGTATCTTTTTGATATTTTGAAAAAGATACTAGTATCTGTATCTAAGATTCATTTTTTTTTTAAAAATCTGTATCTGTATCTAGATTCTTTTTCCAGAGGACCTGCCCAACTCTGGATGTAGTATATTTTATGTGTAATAAAATTTAAATAAAGTTTTAAGATCTACATATATTATATAATTTAAAATTGAATTTTTAGAAAAATACTACGATGACAGACAAATACGCGAATGTGTGATATATATCTATTATATATATGAATACTACTTATTTTATATACTTTATTTCTAAGAGTTTATACAGTGCACTCCCGCCGATTCTCAATACTAAATCATTTTCAATTTATTGAAATTTTAATTTTTTTTAAATTCAGCGCCTTAGCACACAGGTGTGGAAAGGTTACTTGAGCGTCCTTAGGTGTTGCTTGAGTGGTTTGGAATTTACATATTCAAATTACGGCATAGGCGGGATGGCCAGCACTTACGTTATCCTGGAGATATGCTCAACTCACTTTCATAATCCCTCTAATGAAAGTTAGTAAATATAGACTATTCATAGAATAAAATTTTATTTCGACAGTATTTATATTTCTTGGTCGGTTAATTATATCCTTTCTTGCTCATTAACAACTAAAAACCATTTCTATTTTATTTACCGAGAGCTATTAAAAGTCTAATTTAGTTTTAGTTTTGAACCTTGTCAGTTTTTTATCTCCAAATTATCAATATATATATTATTAGAACCTTTACCTCTATTATTTGAGTTCTGGCCTGGTTAGAGAAAATTGTAAAATTATTGCTTATTCCTATCCTTAAAATTTGGTCATATAATAATAAAAATTATGAAAGAATTTATTATGAATTATAAAAACATTGTAAAGCAAATTAATTAAAAATTTTTATCGAGGCCCCCGCGCGGTCCTACCTCTCCCAAAGATGGTGTCTGCCTGATACAGATCTATGTAGGGTTCAGATATTATATTTTATTATATTAGCCATTTTATAAGAATCTTACAACTAGATAGAGTTGTTAAAAAACTTCGATTTTATATTTTAGTCTAACAAATTTATCATAAACCTCATTGTAAAAAGATGGTCAACTCTTTCTAACACATTTAACGAAATCTTGAGGGTTTGATTAAAATCCTTATTAAAAAAATTGGCGAAATTTAGGTTTTTAACAACAGTATGAGATGTAGCTTACTGATTTTTAAAAAAATATATAACTATTTATTATAATTGTTATGGATAATGATTTATGCATTTTTTTTATCGGCCAAGCGATGGTTGGGCAGATTATTTGTATATAGTCATCATTATATAAATAAAAATGTAGAAACCAATGAAGACAATATTTTACAACGATGCAACTCGGTAGATAAACCGGATTTAGTCGAAAATTTGAAATCCACCTGCAATAATATCATAGATCCCGAAAATACTTACAAAAAGGTTTAAAAAAATTATGATACTAAAAAATGAAAAAATCAAATTCTTGAATAATATAAAAAAAGAAAAAATGGCTCTTAAAAAATTAGATTAATAAGTCTACTAACATGAATAAAATCTAATAAATATTGTTTCTGTTTTGTCGAATTTCCGATTGTGCATATTCATGGTAATATAATTATCAATAGATTCCAACTCTAGGTATTGTAGTACTTTTTCACAATATATGATATAATATGACGATGTTATAGACAAGGCTTTTTTACCAAAAGATATCTAATTTTGGGTCCCGCCTTTCGACTTCCATTTCTAACGTGGCGTCCAACATGATGACGGAAAGAGGGCCGATAGGTCAGAATAATAACGACAATGGTCACTCAAATTTGATTAGTTATAGCGGTAACATTATCGTATCGGAACATTTGGCCGAGCGACAAATTTTCGATAGATATTACCGCAAGGAATACCTCTATCAAATGTTCCTGGGTAAGATTGCAATTTAAAAATAAATTGAGGTTAGTGTTTTACAGTTGGTACGACCCTTATCTCATACATAAACTCATTTACGGCGGAATAACGTTATTTATTTAATAATCATATGAACTTATGCATTAATCTATATTTTATCGAAATTTTATCATCCACCTAACATTTTGATGACTTTTAAATATGAAAATTACTATGATTAAAACATTAATCAACAATTCATGAAAATTTATTTTGCCCAATAATAATAAGTCCTTATAATCTTATTAATCTTTATATATTTATTTAAAACTATAAGCTATTGTTTTTCCTGCAGGTAAAAATAAGTCAAAATTATGGGACGAAAATCAATTTTGGCAAGATATATTTTTGGATGCTGTCACCCAAGAACGCGATATGATAGGGATGGACATTGGACCTTCCGAAATGATGAATAGGCATGTATTCTTACTTGTATTAATATAGCAAAACTAGACTTAACCTTAATTTCAATATTGTAAAATCGCTCTATTGGAGCCGATTTTTAAAAACGGCTAACTCAGTATTTTATCCAGAAAAGTATTACGCAAGCCTGAAGATTTTGTTCATAGATGGCACAAAGGTTTGGACAACTATTAGCGAAATCTCGAGGCTTAGGCATTTTTTCTGGCTAAAATATTGAGTTAGCTGTTTTTAAAAATCGGTTTAAATGGAGCGATTTTGCAACACGAATTGTATTCTTTATTTATTTCTATGATTTATGTTATTATTCTATTCTTGATAAAGTGTTCTAGCAAAGATAAATATCCGATAATCCTACCCACATAAAATACATTAAACAAATAATCGAGAACCTTACCAATATTATTTACGATATACGCTTTTTTCAAATTGGACAACCATGATAATAATATAACAATTAAATGTATTTTATTCAAATACTAAAGATTCGTTTTCCTATCAGAGACGGAGAAGAAACGGTTGGAACTCGAAGAAGATAATCTCCTAGCTATTCAATTGCTGAACTTGGTCTCATTCACAGTTATGATGGGCACTAATAAGAAAGAAATTTGTAGGAAAGTGCGAAGACTGCTTGCCAAATCTCACGTTGGTTTGAAGTATAGTCAAACGGTCAATAGATTGTTGGATAGGATTAATGCTTACGTATTAACATTAAACCATATTAATTAACATATATACAGGACGATTTCCTAAGTTTATATTAGAAACTTGTTTTTATTCGGAAAAAATATATTGTCAATTTTTAACATTTCATCATATTTATGTAAAGGAATTATGATGTGAGTAATACTTTTCTCGTGAGTCATTTGGAATTTATAAGCAATCTCTTTTACAAACTCGTAAAATTGATACTTTTTCAAAATCGATTTTAAGGAATAACTGGAATGGGTGATATTTCGGCTGGTATTGGATTAAATAAAATATACAGAATCACAAGTTTTTTAAAGGAAATATAATTTCTAATGCATGTTGATAAATATACTTCCCCTTATAATAAAAAAATATATATTATACACAATAATTCACTGCTTGTTGTATTGCAAATCGTAAAAAATGGGTTTATTATAGGATGGAAATAAAATACCTTTGTTGGTTCCTCTCAGTAGAAGGATCCGTAAAATGTCATTCAACGTTAAATCGGGTGTTAACCCATCAACCGGAACCATGGTTATGGAAGTTAGTTATCATAATTTATTACTTGATTTTTATACATAATACTTCAGGTTTCCTCGAAAATCAATACCTTTTTATCGGTCTATTATTAAACTTGGAATAGACGGTTTTTTGAACTATTAATAGGACCGAACCCAGGCTCATTTGTGAAGCAGGTGCGTAACCAATGGGGGATGAATAAGGGAAATTACCCCCCCCCCTCCCCGATCACAAATTTTACTGTTTTCAAGCTAAAAAAAATTTTACCCCCCCCCCCCCCCCACTCAAAATTTTTTAAATATTTGTATATCATTTCCAAAATAACACTTATTTTTTAAAAATAAATTTTATTAATATTTCCTTTCCTTGTGAGTAATATTAACATTATTCAAAAATAATAATAAGATGGGAAAAATTTTAATTAAAAAGATAGAAATAAAACTGTAACTGATTTTATCATTGTGATTATTTCTAGTTATATCTATTATGTTTATTTTCTCATATTCAAAATTATTAGTGAATTAATAAGTATTTTTTATAATATTTTAATTATTAATGAATATCTAGAAGTTTTTAAATAATGTTCATTTTTACTTCCATTTTGTAGAACAGAAGAAATAGAAATACAAAAGTTAAATAAGGCTAAGCATGAAAAAAATGAATAAATACAAATTGAAAAAAAAATGGTAAAGGTAGGTATCTTATATTTTATGAAAATCAGGTTATTAGTTATAAATTTTTTATTAAATTAAAACTATTTTATTCATAATGTTTAAAGTAGGGGAGATGTGGTTCCTTGCTTTTTGATCTGAAGTTTGGTGAATATTAATCTTTATGAATACCATTCCATATGGGGATATTGCAAAGTCTTTTTGTATTTTTGCATTGCTCTTCTTAAAGTTGTTATAAGAATATTAAATTTGATAGATACTAATAGTGTGAAATTTTTATTAATGTTCATAATTGCCAATTAAATTTGTTCATTTTCATTTCAATATGTTTGTGTGAATGTATTAATTTTGGCCAGACAATAGCTGTCTATTATCATTAAATGCTTTTATATGTATATGTAGGTACTAAAATTAGGTAAGGTACATATCATAAATATACACATTTTGACCAATTTGATAAAAAGTTAAAGGGCAGCAACCAGTTTTCAAACACCATTTATAACACATTTTCTCTATGTTATTACCTTTTTTAAAAAGTATAATATAGTTAGTACATGGTTTTTTTCCAGATTTTTACAATATTTTTATTGATAAAGCAACCATTTAAAAATAAAACTTAAATAATGGTTTTTCCATTGCATTACATACATGTATGAGATTGGTTTTACCCAATTATCCTAATAAAGAATGAAGAATAAATTTATATAAATTATTTTATTCGGGTTTCATCAACCATGTGCTATAAATTTCTTAAAGAATGATTTAACTCCTGAAAAAAATTAGAAATTTTGGAAAATATACATCAACCAGATATAATTTTTCCATATATTAGGGACACTACAACAAGAAAACTATATTTTTAATAGGTTAATTATCAAGGTGGCCATGGCTAGCATTTTCTCCTACCATTAATGATATTTTGCAAGAATTATTTATTTGATCCAAAATTTGCTGAAAGAGTCCAGCAAAAATTATAAAGTCTAATATTAGCACCATTTAGACGCTGTTGAAATTTTTAACAACTATCAAAATAATATGTATCATATTGATGCACAACAAGTTATATATTTCTTGCGATCTATAAAAAATGGAGAATCCATGGATATTATTCGAATAATTGATACTGAAAAACAAGGACTTGCCTTGAAGAATAGATTCAGACTAAAGCCAATTATTAACGCTATCCTGATATGTGGTATCCAAGGTATCGCCCTTCCAGGACATAAAGATAGAGGTTCAATATTTGATAATGATAATAACAATAATGATGAAATTCTTAGAGCTATTCTTAGACATAGATTTCTTGGAGATCCTACACTTATTAATAATTTTTTAATTACTTTGAAAATGCCCCCTATTGAGCCCAATAATTCAGAATAAAATCATTAATGCCTGCAATGAATTAGTATTGAAGAAAATTATTACAAAAATCAACAAATCACCCTACTTTTCGGTTGGCTGATGAGACAACAGATGTCTCTGGAATAGAACAAATGTCTTTATGTGTACATAAACCTGGATGGTAAGCTTATAATTTTATGAATAATAAAAAAATTATCATCATTGGTGTTATACAAATATTAGAAGAATTTTTACAGTTTACACCAGTTGTGAATATGAGAGGGGAGGCCCTCGCCCAAACTATTTTGTTAAATATAGAGTAATATAAGCTAAATATACATTTAATATGCGATAACAAGGTTAAGATAGTGCCCCAGCTATGAGTAGCCATTTAAATGGTGTCAAAGCACATATTTAAAAAAAAATATCCATCCATTATATATGTTCACTGTGCATCTTCTTCTTCTTCTCCGTTTTATGGCGATTTCCAGGTTTACCCGGGTAGGTCAGTTTTCCCTCTGATTTTTCTTTTCCATTTTTGACGGTCCTGAGCATCAATACTTGTAAGATTCAAGCTTCTCATATCAGCCGCTATCACATTTGTCCACGTCATCTTGGGCCTTCCTCTAGGTCTTGATCCTCCTACTTCCATCATTGTGCATCTCTTTACCCAGTCATCTCTTGTCATACGTTCCACATGCCCAAACCATCTTAGTCTATTTCGTCGCATTACCATACCAATCATTTCTATACCTAATCTTGCTCGCAATTCCTTGCTAGTTTTTCTCTCTCTCAGAGATACCCCACACATCCATCTAACCATCCTCATCTCTGTTCTTTCTAATTTGGCTTCGTGAATTGCTTTCATTGCCCATGTTTCACCGCCATAAACTAAACAACTCCTCACGCAGCTTACATAAACTTTCCCCTTTAACTTCAGAGAAACTTTTTTATTTGTAAGAATAGATGACATCTCTCTGAACTTCTTCCAAGCTTGTCTGATCCTTGCAACAACAGCAGAATCTACACCACCATCTGCGTTTAGCATATCACCTAAATAACAAAACTTATCCACTTTTTCTAGGGTTAACCCATTGCCAATATCCAGACCACCATTTTTTAGGTTATCATTATTATGTATCCCTTTCATGCATGTTTTACAAATAAAGGTCATTCTTTCTAACATCAAACTGCCTTTTTTCCCACTACATCTTTTATGTACCCATTTCTGGCATCTGGTGCATTGTAGAATTTCTAGCAACTCCTTTCCCACATACACCACAAGGCCACTTACCTGATTCTTCTATCTTTAGATTTTCCCCACCAATCATCACCTTTGTTTTTGATGCATTCATTTTCAGGCCCTTTGCTTCCATAGTCATCTTCCATTTACTAACTTTATCCCTCAATTCTCCCTCACTGTTTGCCATTAATACAAGGTCATCTGCATATAATATCTCCCAGGTAAGTCCTTCAAGCATTTCTCTAGCCACCACATCCATTACTAAGATAAATAATAATGGACTCAGCACGGATCCTTGATGAAGTCCTACCTTCACCTCAAAGCTGTCACTATCACCATGATCCGTCCGTACTGCTGTTTGTGCTCCAACATACATTGCCATCACTGCGGTAACTAACCATTCCTCCACACCGGATTTTCTCAAGGCCCATCTTGTAATCTCACGCGGCACCCTATCAAATGCTTTCTCCAAATCAACAAACGCATAATAGAGTTTCTTTTCCTTCGCAAGATACTTCTCCTGAATTTGTCTCACCACAAAAATTGCATCTGTCGTGCCTTTTCCCGATGTAAAACCAAACTGTATTTCATCAATTTTGATTTGTTCCCTTATCCGCTTTTCTAACACTCTCTCAAATACTTTCATTGCATGTTCCAAGAGTTTAATAGCTCTGTAAGACCCACAATCTAAAGGATCACCTTTCCCCTTGTATACTGGGATAATTATACTTCTTCGCCAGTCCTCGGGAATAGTACCTTCTGTGACAATCTGATTTGCTAAATTCATTAACCATTCAATTCCTAAATCATCAGAACCTTTAAACATCTCTGATACCACCATCGTTAAACCCGATGCCTTCCCTTTCTTCATCTTTTTCACTGCTCTCCTTATCTCGTCCTTGCCAAATTTACACCCTGGACCTTCTACCTTTGCACAACTAATATTATTATTCCATTCATTTTCTTCATTCAAAAGTCCTTTCATCTCATTCGTTGAATTTATCCGATTCATGTGCTCTACCTTCTATACGCAATGCCATCCATATTTTAACTTATAAAATAAATATAATATATTTTTAGCTATTATTTCCAAAATTTATGATTTTATTAAATATCCGAAGCGGTCAGATGTTTTAAATCGAACTATAAAAAATTTGCCCTACACGATGGATTATAAGTCATGATTCAGTTTCGACATTCATAGAACTGGAGATCAGAATATCTTTACATAAAATTATTAAATGGTAAGACATTAAGGTGTCTTCAGAAGCGATATCATTAAATTCAATATCAGAGTTTATCTTTGCTGCTAGTTGCATTAATAAATGATTTTCCTATAGCTCATTACTTGGTAGAAATTTGCAAAAACCAAATTTAGATTTAGTTCTGGTTACTTATTTGGCGGAAAATATATGTGAACAGGTAAATCAGAGTTGTTAAAGTAGCGCGCTAACCGCTATAGCTAATAGCGGCTACTTTTTTTGTAATTATTTAATTTTTTAGCGCGCTTCGCTACTTTTAAAAAATATAATGAAGGTAAGTATAAACATGAAAATTTAAATATAATATCATAATTAATTATAATTTTACGATTTATTATATAATTTTGAAATTGAAATATAATTTCAATTTGTAATTTATATTTTCATTTGTATTATAAACCTAAATCACGTGTTAATAATTTAAAATGTCATCGCCTATGGATATCCAAATCGTTGAAAGTGATTCAGACAATGATATTAATGAAATAGAAGATATCAGGGAAGAAA